CACTGTCCTCCCTCTGCTGCTGACACAACAAACTATTAGGTTGAAAATAAGTGGGCCATACAGAAGAGCTGCAGCATCTGGAAACAAGCAAAAAACCAAAAAAAAAAAAAAACCCAAACAAACAGCACATTCAGCTGGTAACAGAAGGGAAATAAAGATTTCTAGCTCAGCAGCTAATGTCTGTTCACGGGTAGCCTTCTGGTTTTCAGCTGCTAAACATTTGAAAAGAAAATGTGATTCAGGCTACAGAAAAAAAGACATTTTTATAGTAAATAATTATATATGAATTTATAAAATGAATATACAAATATATACATATGATCAAATATGATTATTTCTTGTATAATAATAATAACCATCATCATAATAGTCATAATAATAATAATATAAATGTTAACTGAACCTTGGTGATGGTTAAGTGAAAACTCCATGATTTTAAGGCTGGGCTGGTGAACACCAGGGATCTGCTCTAAGCCCCTTCTTGATTGGTAGAAATAGAACACTACAGAACAGACGCCCTTCTACTCTTGTCTGTGTGTGTGTGTGGTAGTGTGGTTGTGAGCATTTTTGGTCCCATTAAAGTAACTGTGAATGTGATATAGTCTGTTATTGATCATCAGGTGATAAACAGAAACCCAAACATCCCTGTGGCCCCAGGGAAGAAGGAACATCGATTTTATTTTATTGATCTTGTTTCTTCTTAATTGACCTTAATGTAAAGACTGACACAAAAATGTGCTTTCAGTCTGTGTTTTTGATGTGGAGACCAGAACCGTGGTTTCACTCCCTACGTAGACTCAAAATTAGAGAAAGAAAAAGCACTCCAGTCAATTGTGAGGTAATTTGTGTGTGTGTGTGTGTGTGTGAGAGAGAGAGAGAGAGAGAGTGACCCTCAGTTTCTCAAAGAAGGTCAATGCTGTTCAATTCCACTACACCATTAAAACCCTGACCCCCACTCAAACTCACACTCACACTGCTTTAACTGTTTTGTGAGCACCTCACATTGACATAGTTTGTCCCTAACCTCTTACCAGTACAAATATATGACTCATCCCAGCTCTAATCTGACCATACCTCTAATCCTTAAACCCATCGTGTCCCTACAGCAATATTTTTCTAAGAAAATGTCCCCACATGTTTAACTACTGTGTAACACACATCCACAGGTCAAAGCTGTCGTTCTACTTCATTATAAACCTTAAAGCACGCACACACACAAATATACAGCAGCACGCACAGGACACCTTGCAGCTCCAGGAAGGTCAGTCTGTGCATCAATCAAATGATTGTTTCGGTGCTTGACCTGGTTAAGGTAAATCCTAACCACTGCAGTCGACCTTCTTGGTGAAGGCAGCGCAGCTAAAACACAGGGTCACGACCTGCTCTGGAGAAAAATGAGGAATGATCTGATATGAAATCTGATTTCACATCAGCTGCTTTTCCAATTCAGTCATTGCCACAAGTGCCTAAAGTCCAGCAGTAGCTGTGCATCTGATGCTCAGGCACCATTTCAGAAAGAATATGTGTAAGCCTGTGTGGCGTTCTGGAAGTTCCCTGGACCGTATGGACCGAGGGTCCGAGGGTTCAAGTCTCCTCTGGCTTCAACCCCACCACCACAGGGTCTAACTCTGGGTCTTCACTTTGTGTTCCTTCTACAGTTGACACAGAAGGACGGAAGCTGAAGGGCGGCATCCAGAGGAGCACAGAGACGGGCCTAGCTGTGGAGATGCCCAGTCGGACCGTGCGACAGGCCAGCCACGAGTCCATAGAGGACAGCATGAACAGCTTTGGCTCAGAGGGCAAGTGAGTAAGAGTTGACTGCTGCTGCATGATGGGAACATTTCCTCATTCAAGCTGTTTGTTCACTTTGACTACTCACCTTTACCATGGAGAGTACTAACTAGAAAGTACTAGTCAACTAGAGTTGCTTTATGGGCCATTCGAAAATACATACACTCCCAGTTAGAGTAAATATTTCAAAAAAAGGAAAAATACGTCTCCTCCAACTCCCCATACTCTCTGCTCTCTTTGAATAAATAAAAGAATAACCAGTACTACACGTTGCTCTGTGTGGTTCAATAACCCTCACCTACTGAATTTAAATGTGATGGACCCATGTCTGTGAAATGATACAGTATGTAAATTTAATGAAGTTTAAGTGGTCACTGATGTAGGTACAGGTATAAGTGTGTGGGAGAGATTCAAACTCCGAATACAATTATCAGTGTTTGTGATGCTAGTCTCTCTCTCTGTGTGTGTGTGTGTGTCCTCATGAATAAGCACTTTGTTAACTAATGATGTAACTGAAAAAAAGCATATATATATATATATATATAATACATTTGTAACCATTGCAATAACATATTATTATATATAATAATCTATGTATAATCAAATACACATTTCTTATAAGAAATGTGTATTTGATTATATTAGGTTTGCGAATAAAAGTGTTTGTTTAAACCTGTTAAAACCAACTGAAACCAACGGAAAAGTATTTTTGAACCTCTCATCTCTGACATATATATCAATCTACTAATTGTGGTCTGTAAAAATGTGGTCCGTATTTAAATATCGCTCTCACTGTCTCGGCGATTTATCATTCTGAGATTAAGGAACAGGAGCCTGGTTGAAGCCAGGCTTCAGTCAAATTGTCTCCTCTCATTTCCTCATGTCCTGTCACAGGAAACAAGTCATCAAGAAAATAACTGGGGGGAACGACTTTTTAAATCAAGAAAAAAAATATCTTTTTTTTTTGTTTCTTACTGCCTCCTGGAGGTTAACTGGTAATTTTTAAAAAGATTCCCAGAGTAACAAAGGTATGAACCAGCACTTTATGACTATGCATTTATCCACAAGCACGCATATAAGCAAAACACACACAGCTGGCAGCCTGCCATCAATGCACTTTAAGCTGATTCTTTTACATGTACAAACAAAACCAGTACACTGGGTTCAAAGCCATAAATCAGTTGGATTTCACTGAGTTTGTTTTAACGAAGAGAGGCTGAATTCTGATATTTCCGTTTTCCTCTTATCATCACAGTCATCTTCATCATCATCATTATCACTCATCATCATCATCATCATCACCCGATGCCCAATGTCTCACTTTGTCGTGCAGACCTTTTACCCAGCAGCCTTTGCTTCTCTCTGCAGTTTGAACTACAGCGGCATGTGTCTGGCATCTGACACCCAGTTCAGCGACTTCCTGGATGGCATGGGACCGGCCCAGTTTGTTGGGCGACAGACTCTGGCCACAACGTCCATGGGTGAGAGACGACAACTACTGTAAAACAGTGTTCATCACCATGAAGTGCTCAAATGTCCAGAAGGTGATGTGGTGAATGTGAGAATGAGCTGAAGGTTCCTAACCATTAAAGACACTACAGTACAACAATGTACTTCAATAGTACTTCAGCAGTACTTCAGACATGCTGACACACAGTGCTGCTGCCCTACAGGTTGCACAAGTTGCATCAGCTGTTTAACTTCTCTCCCATGGTCAACACCAACGAGCTAACATTATTAAAGCGCTAGGTTAATCTACTGTCAGTCCTGTTTAAATGACACACCCTCCATTAAAACAGAGGACATGTGTCTCTGTGTCCTGGGCCAAAGAGCAGAAACACAGTATCTGGACCAGCTTTTCTGTTCAGTCCAACCTGGACACACATCTGTCTTTGGGCAGATATTTGTCTAAAACCTTTGACTTCTTAGTGTTTGAGACGTGATTTCGTTCACATTGATCTCACTTTGTCCATTTGTTTGTCATCCATCAAGGTGACGTAGAAATTGGTCTGATGGAGAGAAACGGGGGCCTGGAGGTGGAGATCGTCCAGGCCAGAGGACTCACCATGAAGCCTGGGTCAAAGGGTCCTCCAGGTCAGACTGAGCGCCTTCTATAACTGAGAGTTGGTCTCCTCTCAGGTTTGATGTCATTGGCTGTGAATGGTTGTCTGTCATTATATATGACCCCACCCTGCTGAGACTGCCCCCCCCCTTTCACCCACAGCTCTGCAAACCGAACTATGTTGTTGAAGATGAATGAATGAATGAATGAATGAATGAAAACTCAACTAGAAAGTGATCATGAACAAAGTCAAGGGGAGATGATTGTGAATGAAGATCAAAGTCTAATCAGATGAAAAGAGAAAAAGATGAAAAGAAAAGTGTGGATAAAAGAAAAGAACCTTGTTCTAGATTTCCTGTGTTTGGTTTTTAATGTTCTCAATTAACAGTAATAGTGTAAACGTGTGTGTGTGCAGCTAGGCTGAGGAGTTCATTATGTCAGTGTAAAGAACTCACAAAACCAGTGTGTGTGTGTGTGTGTGTGTGTGTGTGTACCTTGTTTTCTCATCAGCTCCTCCTCCTTTCTCCTCATTGTGTTTACAGCAGCCTACATCAAAGTTTACCTCCTGGAAAACGGCATCTGTGTTGCCAAGAAGAAGACGAAGTCAGTGAGGAAGAGCCTGGATCCTCTCTACAACCAGGTCCTGGTCTTCTCAGAGAGTCCACAGGGGAAGGTGGTGCAGGTGAGAGGATGCTCGTGGACTACACGTCCATCAGATTCACTCAGGACGAGGAGGTGTCCTGCATCATAAACACAACACAGTTAAACCAACGTGGTATCAGCTATGACACCTCCCTTCGTCTCCTCTCCTCTCATCCTTCCTTTTCCTCTTCCTTCCTTCCTAACCTGGCATGCGTCACATGTTTCCCTCTAATCTGCGGAGGCGTCCTGAGCTCCTAGCTCTGCCTCCGGCTCCTTCCACTGTGTAATTGGCCACTAAACACCTCCCTCCTAATTATCCGCTGTCTGTCGTGGCCGTCCTGTGAGTTTCATCAAACTCATTCATGCTGTAAAATAAGAAGCCTTGGAATCTGCAGAGCTTTTCAATTTGTCACTTCCTGATTTAGCACAGCAGAGTGCTAGTGGAACTTCATTCACTCCTTTATATACAGTACAGTAACGCCCCCCTGACCCCCCAAAAAGTTTTTTTTCGAACACAGTTACTTTTTGATCACAACAAGCAATTTCCCTAATTGCTTAATTGCTAATTGCTTATATATTTTAAACAATATCATCTGCAGATAGATTATGACCAAATACAGTGATCCTTTATTTATAAGAGCTATGGAAAATACTAAGCTGAAAATGTATCTCTTTTTTTAACTCAGTTTCATGGAGGTAAGAAATTATTGTTATCAAAGCTTCTCAGTGTGACAGCCAATCAGAGCAAGGGAAAGGGGGGGTTACATAAGTACAGGTCTGAGCTGCTGCTGTGATCAGTGTGACGGTCTTCAAAACAGCCTGAGGAGACGCTGCTGCTGCTCCTCTCACTGGTTAATTAGCCACTAACCGCCCCTTCCTAATTATCAGCTGTCTGTCTCCTCCTCTCCTCCACTCTGGGCTCCTCACTTCACTTCCTCTTTCCACCCTATTCTCCACCCATTCTATTTGAATCCATCAAATGTTCCATTTTAACATAATATCATTATTTTCTGCCATGCCCCCCCAGGGCACAGAAGTTTTTGCACCCCCCCCACCCTCCCCCCCCCGCACTGAAATACTATTCAGCACCTGGTAATATTTATTTGTTTATTTGTACAAACCACTGTAAAAAGTTGCTGGCACCAGCATTCTGCATACAATCCCCTGATTATTAAATAGTTTAATAAAATGAGCTGCAATGCTGCCATCTAGTGGCTTTCATTTTCATATACAACTGTTTTTCCCCCACATTAGTTTTAGGTCAAACATCATTTGGCGAAACCCAAGCATTGCGTTATCGAGTTTTCATTATCTGATGAAAACTCGATAAGAAAAACATCTTACCTAACGGCATTCTTCCTCCAGACCTCTGTCAGTGTAGAGCAGCCTCTGTGTCCACAGTCATCCAGGTGAACTCGGTGCCGCTCCAGCTTTAAAGAAAGATTGGATTTAATGCTTTTTTTAAATTATTTGTTTAATTTAATTTAACTGATTTCAAGCCAAAAAATAACTGAACCTAACTGGAATATAGATGGAAACATGATTTAGCTAAATAGCAAACTATTTATTTTATTTTTAAAAAAATTATGATTTTAGGGTTATTCAATTATTTTTACCATACTAGTTATAGTGATAATAAATTGTATACTTTTTTACTGATTTCTCTTTATTTACTTAATTAAACACTCATTTTCACTGAGTCAAGACTGTGCATCGTTGTCAGTGATTAAAGCAGTGATTTTACCTCTGGTTTAAATTTTAACCACATCCATTAAATCCATAACAATATAATAGGAATTACATTATTATAGATTCATAAGATTAATGTATTATTATTAATACATTAATTGACCATTACAACAAGTCACTCAGTTAATAAAAACAAACTACCAAACTGACTTCTGTTCACAGCCTTGTTAAGGACTGAGTCTGGCTGTCCAATAATACAGTGAAACTCTTCTGCCTCCTGCAGTTTAAATAGAGGAGATTCATTTTTTAACAATATCTGCTTCTTTAACAGGTGATTGTTTGGGGCAACTACGGACGAATGGAGCGCAAATGCTTCATGGGCGTAGCTCGGATCCTGCTGGAAGAACTGGACCTCAGCACGATGGTGATTGGCTGGTACAAGCTCTTCCCTACCTCCTCCATGGTGGATCCAACCATGGCACCTCTCATCCGACATTCCTCCCAGATGTCGCTGGAGAGCACCATCGGCCCGTGCTGTGAGCGATCCTAAGACTCACGGGAAGAGAAGAGTTTCCGTTCCTATCTTTCTGTTCCTGTACCAGGAGATTTTTTTCTGAGACCTGTTGACCTGCGCTGGGGTCAGCAGCGTGGTACTTCACAGGAGCAGGTGGATGTTCTGTTTCTTACACAGAGATCTTGAACAGGTCCAACCAAAGCCGGAAAGCAACTCCCCCCAGTCTGAGAAATTATTTTACAGATCAGCAGAGAATCCTGGCTCTCAGTAGAAATGTGCTGTGTTATTTTTTTGACGTTCTACTCATGGTAAGCACATTTCTTTTGTGTAACTTTTGTTGCAAAACCCCATAGAGTTATACAAATATTGAGCCTTGTTCAGGAAAACAAGCAAACAAACAAACAAACACTTAGTTCCCGCTAGGACCATAACGCACCACAGGGGGCTTCGCTGCAGCTTTTCTTCAGATTTCCACTCCCAGGACTGTCTGTTGTCCATCTCTGGCCTCATTATTGGTGTGGACAGTGTTTCTGGTCTGTCGACACACCCACAGAGAGTGTGAGACAGTGGTCTGATGGTTGGTGGCAGCAGCCAGTGAACAGCAGCTTCGTGACGGAGAAGGATTTCTTTTTTTTTTTCAGCTCATTTTGTTTAAAGCCCAGATGTTTGAGCACGGTGTCTGGAACTGTTTTTGTTTCCTGTTCACACGTCTGGACCTTCAGTCGTCTTCTGTGGCTTCATCATGACACGTCAGTGAAGTGAATTCATTAATAATTAGTAATGAGTTCATTACTGCACTGCCAACTTTGAGTTGGTCCCTGGCTGGATGTTTGTTACCCACAGTAACAGCTGGCTCTGTGTTCAACATGTGCGATTCCACTCTGCAGGGCTGTGCAGTCACTGAAGAGTTTGACTGATTATTAGAGCTTTTCCTTCTAATACACACCATCATTATGTCTCCAACAGTTAAAGATCCACTGCAAATACATCATAATAAGACGCACCATTTGTAGTTAAATGAAAACAATGTGGACAAACTCTGAACCGATGTCAGGGCCCTGATCTGACCTTATAAACCGTTTACTCTTGACACATTTAAATGCAAAAAACAAATCATTGAGTAGCATTGAAAGGCATGAGTGAATGTCTTTGTAAATAAGATGTATTTTGTGTTGTCCTACCGTCTGTGCGGTGGCGTAGTTTACAGGAGCAGGGGGCAGTCATGTAGCTGGGACACAGAGGACCATGGTCCGTGGGGCTGAAAATTCACAGTAAAAGCCCAGGTTCAGTATTCAGTGGAAACAAAACTCCAACAGTGTATAAGCTGCGGCTCATTGTTAAGATGAATGGATGTTTTAAACACAGCAGCAGCAGCCAATGAGCTGCACACAGGCCGTGCTGGTTAAAATAATTAATAAAATAATAAATTAATTTGTTAGTAAATTGAAAACATAAACCACATACATATTTACATACATACACATATATGTACACACACATATGTATACTTATGTATTTATATATATACATAAATATATATATAAATATACACGTCAAAAGGCACACGTCAAAATGCAAGTGCTCCTCTATTTGAAAATATATGGGTTGACGTTTCTATTGGTATGTACATTGATACGCCTCATGTCGGAGTAGAAGCTGCATTTTTTTTCATGTCATGGTTTGTAACATCTGAATATAATTCGTGGCCTGTCGTTGTATATTTTGAGTCTGATAGGAGTCAGACTCCTCCTCCTCCTTCTCCTCCTGCTCCTCCTGCTCCCTCACAGTCTGTGTGAATGCAGCCTTGAGGTTTTCTCTGCACTATTCTCTGTCAGCAAGTGTCTGGTTCTTTCTTCTTTTAAATGATCAAATGACACCTGACATCACAAAAGAGGAACACAAGCGAGCACTCAGAACATGTGACAGCAGTGTTCAGGCACCCCCACCCCCGTCCCTCTCACCCACCCACCCACACACAAACACATAAGCATGTTTCCTTTAATTTCTACTTGAAATTATTGCTTACATCCACAGAGGACGAAGGAACCTGGTGATTAGCTGAGCCGCTAAAATTCCGAGGAGCATGAAATGTTCTTTCAAACTTCATGGTCTGTTGGACCTGGTCGTCAGGCCCAGAATAGGATGAAACAAAGGGAACATCATGAGCAGACAAAGGGGACATTTATAGTTCATTATAAACCTGCTTGTTTCCTCTGGACTTTGAAATATTTTAAGAGTCAAAATAGAATAGAGTTCTCTACGGCTTTGGAATCAGCCGACGTGAATCTATGGTTGATTTATTTTTATATATGAAAAACACAAGTAAAAAAAAAAGAAAAAGGGAACAGAAGGCGCTAGTGGTGAACTGTATACTGTAGCCTTAGCTGTAATTATCTGCATGATTATTTTAATTAGCAAACCACTGGATAGAACTAAGCATGAGCTGCATAGAAAAGAACACAAGAAAATAAATACCACGTGTTGGAAAGGTACCCACCTTGAACAGACTGAAACATGGACAAGCGATTTCTTTGAATTAATTAAATGATATAATTACTGTTTACCCTAATTATGGGATAAATGACCACATAATCTGCAAGCATTTAAAAAAAAAACATGTATTTTTCAGATCGAAAATAAAAAGTTTCTTTTAATTTGAATTAATTAGTAATATATTAGAGCCAACATGTGAAGCAATAATCACACAACCTTCAATTGATGCACTTTTTAGAAGCTCACTACACAGACGAGCTAAGATGTTAGCGCAGTGGAGTTTCAATTTAGGTCTGGTTTGTGGAAAATGAAGAAAAACAGCAGAAAATGAAACGCGGAGAATCACTCTGTAAGCTGTTCTGTCACTGCAGTGCGTTGTTTTCCTTATGTTATTCCAGGTGGAGTTCAATGTTAATTTTCTTGAAGTCTCTTGCTGAGAATTAAAATAACAATCTTAACATAATAATTAATTAAAAATGCAGGATAAATGTCAAGTTTTAGCTTAAATTATTTGTAGTAGCATGGAGATTAAGAATGTTATTCATGAACTGAACGATAAAAACAGTTCTGAGAATAGAACAAATATCAAATAAAATAATGTAGAATTGTTAGGATCTTATTCATTTCTTTGACTCTGACCCAGGGAATGTTTTCTTGTCTGCCGCCTACGTTTGTGCCAAAAACTAAACCATAACTGAGGGCTGATTTAAAACCAAGGAATTTAGAGTTCACACACAAACACACACACACACGACCTGTACCTTTCTGTCAGTAAACCACAGAACAGAGCACATCCACGGTGAGAGAGGATCCTCCTTCAGCCAAGCAGGAAAACCAGGCTGAAATAACACTGATTTTGGCGAAATCTACAACTACTGGCAGAAGTTTAAATGTAGTATAAACATGAACATACAGTACTCCTCTTCACCTGCCTGCAGTATGTAGGTTGGACAAAAAAAACGAAACAACTTTTAGTTGAGTTCTGTAGCAGTACTGTTTGTGAAGAATTACACCAAGACACACTGTACAATGAAGTACTGTAGTATTTAGATTCTACTAAATACTACAGTTAAGGAGGTCTCTGTAGGCTGCTGTAGATTAATATCCTCCCTCTGAATCTGACCCCTCTTTTCAGATCAAATCTACAGCCAGGAGAGTAGTTTTTTTTTTTCAGATCTCGATTTGATCTTTCTCCACTATTTTGTCAATGTAGTTTGAAAGCAAAGAAAAAAAAAACAAACAAAAAAACATACCTCTGGGAGCCTAAGTACCACCAGTGTTATGTGTACCAGAGTTTGAGAACCGCTGCTCGCGACTGTTCAAAGACAAATTGTAGCAGGATCTTCTTGTTTGTGTCTATTTCCCAACAACAGTCACGGCATGTGCAACAAAACCTTTTTACGTCACAGACTGGTTTTCAAAGTCCGGTCGTCGACTCTGACCTCGTTTTCAACCTCGACCACCGAAATTAGTACTACAAACAAACAAACAGGAAAAACATTAAATACAACTCGACTTGAAGTCGCGCTTCTTTCTATGTCCTGACACAGTATTACTGAGGTAACAGGAAACACCGTCTGGTCAGTCACTTTGTTGTTGTTGTTGTTGTTGACAGCACAGATATTCAAAGATTAGCTTCATAAAGTTAGCTTGAAGCTATAGTTAGCTTCATCAAGATGGGATGTTAAAAATGAAAGCAGGGTCTTAAGATATTTATGTAACAAGTATGTTTGTATATAGTGTCATATAATGACCATGACCAAACTGATAACCAATGGAAGAGAACTTTTTTTTTTTCCCCTGCGGCCCAATATCTAATAACCAACGGCTGGTTACTGGTCTGTGGCCCAGTGGTTTGGGACCTCAGCTCTACTAACCAGTTCTGTGACTTTAAAAATTGTGTGGTGTGAATTTTACTTCAGATGCACAGAGATTCAGAGATATTTGCACCACTACAGGAATGATTAACTTGATGTAATTCTAGTTTTTATTTTCATAAAAATGCGAGATGACGTCCCGTCTCTGCTTCTTCAAATGGCCTTTTGTAAAGATGACTGACGCATGTGAACTGCCTCCACTTAGTGTATATTTTTTCTCTCTTTTTTGGACAGTGCCAGTTCCATGGGTGTTAGTTCTTTACACTACTATCAATTGTAATATAAGTAGAGGCCTTAAACACAAATATATTACATACATCCGTCAGGGCTATGAACTGAAAACCATCACAAATCAAACTGAGGCAAAAAAAAAGTTTTCAATCCAACAGTGTTCAACCCATCACTTCCAGAAACTTCTATGGAACTTTGAATACGCCGTCAGGAACTTTAGATACTGATTACTTCAAAAATATTAGCCTGAGCTTTTCGAGCAAAAAAAAAACAATTTTTGAAACAGAAATCTTTTTTTTTTCAACAAGACTTCTTTTTCTAAAATATTAGAAAAAAAGTTATATTAAATTTTCAATTTAAAAGAAATAGATTAAAATAATAAGTAGTAAGGAGAACATTCACGGTCATGTCATGTACAAGGAGGGATTTAAAAGCAGAAAACGTTGCAGAAACTTTTAATCTATAACGTGAATGACTTTTTTTTTTTTTAATTTCACTGCTGTGGACATGTTTACTCCGATCATTGAATGTTTGTCTGGGTTAACTGGGTCTGTGGATGAGGATACGATCCAGTCCAGTGTTTTGTTAATAATTCAGACCTGTCCAGGATTCTACCATCATCACTTCACTATCATTTGTCAAGGTTAATTATTGAAGCCTAATTAATCAAGCAGCAGCAGAATTTCCAACATTCATTTAAAGTGATGTCACATGTTTCCATACTTTTCATACCGACTTATTTTAAAGTTCTTCTGATGTTGCCTTCATTTCTTCCTCATGTTCTACAGAACTGAAGACCTGAGTAGCATTTATCTTTGATTTTAATGTATTATTTTAGGATATGAGACTCTAGTTCAGTGATTCCCAACCACTGTGCCGTGGCCCGCTGGAGTGCCGTGAGAGGTCATCAGGTGTCCTTGGATAATTTATCCAAAATCACTAAATTGGTCTGAAAAAGATTTTTACTTCATGTAGATAATTTGTCTTCGTTAATCTACAACAGTGATGGACCAAAAATGAAATATTTATCCACTAGGTGGCAGCAGATTGCTATAAAAACTATGAAGAAGTGAGTATTTCATCACCGTGTTCAACTAAAGAGGCTCAGGATTCACACTGAGTCAGGAAATTGTGACTATTTTAAAATTTGCAGATTCCTTATATTATATTCCATATACTTTCACAGACATTTCTGTCTGGTGGTGAACTGGGGAATTTTTCTAATGTAACACATGTGCCATGGCCTCTGAAGGGTTGGGAAACACTGGTTGATAACTAGACTGACTACTGTCATTGACCACATGAGATATTTAATAAAACTGTTCTGTCGTTGAGTAAATGCACAACGTGGTGTATTATTATTGGATTTCAGCCATCAATAAAAATCAAGTTTAACTCAATCTTGTATTTCTTTGAGTCATTGGTGTAGGATATTAGTACTTTTATACATATTCAGATATTACAGTGGATGTCAAAGATTTCTAGAATACAGCACGAGAACTTGAATAGTTTATCACTCTTCAATATTTAGATGTTTATATTGATAATACAGGGCGTCATCTGGTTTAACAGCTCATGTGTAATGGGACTAACTGACTGGGTGTCTGTCTAAAGGTCTAACAGTAGCTTTAACCAAATAACAGTAAAAAAGCAGACCTCAAATGTCAGCGGTCTTCTTTTTATGAAGAGTATAAATGTCAGACATGTGGATTTGCAGCTCCACTGTTTCTGTTTGCTCGTTTCTCCCTCACCTTCTGGCTTCTGTCATGTCTGCTCTGCAGGACACACCCTGGCAGCAGACGTACTGAGAGAGAAAAAGTAAACCTAAAGCTCAGTGTCTGCACTGACAGCCACTAAATCCAGGCTCTAGTCTGGTCTAGTCTCAGAGCAGCATCAGCCAGGGCTTTAGGGCTCCAGTGTAAACGTCTGCACACTCCCTGAATAGTCAGACAAATCTGGAACTGAGAGACCGAGAGTAGACACTGATGAAAAAACATCGCTTTGGTCACATGACGGTGAGACTCTGAGTCTGTTTTTCTTCTGTTGTCATCGACCGAGTTTTAAAATGATGAACCACAGGTTGAGAACAGTTTGAGTTTCAGCAATAATGAATAGTTAAGAGGGTGAGCATGGTTGGAGTGCTGAAGATGGTTTGACTGAGACCAGATGACCTGCTGTCAGTGTCCTTCACACGTCTCCATGTCAGGGACACAGAGACACCACACCATAACATCAAAGTCAATACAGAAAAAAATGAATTCAATTTCCTGAGATGTACTGAATATGATCCTGTCCTTAAATATTCCAGGGTGTCCAAAGTCTGGCTCAGGGGCATCTGTGGCCCAAAACAATTCAATGTGAAGTTAGTATTAATCATGACAATAAAAAATATAATTACAGACCATTTACAATTTTTACTAATGATGAAGACAACATTTTGATGAAATCCACCATAAATTAATTAATGAAATTTCTGCTAAACAATCCCTTCCAGGGTTCTGAGAGCTGGGAAAGCCAGCCAGTCAGCAGATGGTGTGGTTTCACCCTGAACAGTTCTATGGTCCATCACAGTCACACTCACGTTCACACCAATGGTCAGTTCAGAGTGAACAACTACCCACACACTGAAATAAGATTCTAACAACAAACAGAGATACTGGGAATTAAACCAGCAAACTAGTGATCTTCTAGCTATTCTTACTACCAGGCTAACTACAGTACATCTTCCACTGTATGGCCTGGGGTAAAGGAAAATCTATTCTAAACTTTTTTTCACTGTGAGCAAATATTTCTGCTCACAAGCCTGAGTCTTCTGCCCAGCAATGGTGTGTGGATGTTCATAGAACAAGGCCGTCAGTCCCTCAGAGTGATGATGACATCATCATCCTGTCCTTTCCACAGCATCTCACCCTCAAAATCCAACATCTTGTGTTTGCGGCAGCGCAGCAGGATGCCCACCACCTTGTCCGAGATCTTCACGTAGCGGTCGAACAGCCGACCGAAGCTGATGACAGTCCGTCCTTCCTTGTCTTTGAAGCCCATGTCTCTGATGAGCCACACCATCTCCTCCATCTCCCTGTGGATGTGCTTCTGAGCCCGGTCGCCCCTCTCAGCTGTTTTAGAGCCATCTTTGGGTCGGCCGTAGCCAGAGTCGCCCTTTTGGAGGCGCTGTGACATGGCATACTCATAGTCAAAGTCCTCACTGAAGGGGTTGAGCTTCTGACCCTCCAAATGCTGCTTGGACCACTGCTGCCAACGGCTTTTGATGTCGCCCATAGTGGCGATTTTAATCTGGAGGTGAATGACAGTCGGCAGGTTAACACCACTTCAACGACAGGTCACTGTGTTACAGGCCTGGACAACTGTCCAGTTGTCCACAGGTCACATTCACACCTATAGTCAATAAACTGTTAACAATTAACCTGAATATTATTGGACAGTGACTGGAAAGTGACAAAAACACACATACATGCCAAGGATCCAACCAGCAACCACTGATATTTGTGTTGTGAGGCAGGAAGGCCAACCACATCTTCCACTGTGTGGCTCCCAGTCAAATCACACTCATTTTAAACCAGCTGCTCATCAGTAGTTTTATTGTTTATTTCTGACACCAGCTGCTGTACAGTAATGTTACGGATAAATGTGGAGGGTTTTCCTTTACCCTTTAAAAAAAAAAAAGTCCCCCAGGGCGCTGTAATCGATCCCATGCTCTTTGCTCTGAACTTAACTTCTCTATAAATAAATGTGTATATGTAAGTATTCGTGCTGTCGCCAAAATTAAAAAGATATGGTTTAAATACTGTAAATGTAAACCCAGAGATTATTAATAAAGTCAAGAATGTGGTTGTTCCAGAATCAAACAACTTTATTTTTTCCTCACTCTTCCTCCTCTTCCTCTGACGCTCCCCATCCCTCCCTACTTCCGTCCCTCCTAGTATTTCCTCAGCTCGCCAGGCCTTCAGAACACTGTCATTAAATCTCCTTGGTATTCCATCTATGTAAAGTGAGGACTTGTAACTAAAGGACCTTCCATGAAACTTTGAAACAAACTCTGTTTCCACTATTACAGGTCAATCAATTATTTTTACCATTTAACTGCGATGTTTATGTCCATGGCTCTTAAAAGTATAAAACAAAAATCAAAACTATTGAAACTGATGATGGAGGATCAGATGCATATTGTTTGAAAAAGGGCAAACGTCTGTTCTCATCTCAGAGAAAACTGTTCTGTAGAAAACAGATTTCATCTCATTATTAATTTAACCGACAACAAGATCATTTTCCAAAACGATGAGACCAAAGTTTGATTTTTTTAGTTACCAAATAAACCCAGAGGCCAGTAATAACCCTACTTATATTTACCTTTAACTTTTTTCACACTTTTCAACTATACTTTAACCCAATCCAAATGTGTAAAATACATGGAATAAAATTTTCTTCAAACAGTAAGTGTAGACCTCTCACGTTACAGCTTCAACCCCCCTCCTCCCATCCCCCACCTCATTTTCCGGCTCCACCTGAAGGTCAGGTCAGAACATATTGCAGTGCTCAACTATATTTATTTACGTATGTTCCATTGCACCGTACTCCAGCTTGTATTTTTATGGGTAACACCACCACCTCCCCCGAGCCACCAGGGGCCTGGAGCCGCCTGGCTTGGCCTTTAGAGGAGAGACTTTATGATTGCTGTTATGCAACACTGGAGGCGGGGCATTGACTTTATATTGTTTACTCAATACTGTTTGAAATGTGTGGGAATATCTGACGTTCATTTAGTGTGTAGTTCAGGGAGCAATGGAACATTAGAGGAAGCAGACGTACAGCATTGATTGGGCTGTTTGAAAACTGCTTTATAGGCCAGTCATTCACACTGGAGTTCGTCACGACAGAGTGAACATATAAAGTCATCTGTTTTTTTTAAGTTGAGAGAAAAACAGTGAAAACAACGTGACATCTTTGTCGTTATTATCCGTTCATCTTTCCTCAGTTTCTTTTAGTCGCTTTTCGTTAGTTTTTTAATTTGTGTAGAAAAGAAATAAACCGATGTTTGTCAAATGTCAACTAAATGCTTTTAAACACAACATTTGAAGCTTGAATCTACAGATGGGAACCACCACAGGAGTCCCACTGACAGAAAAACTGTTATTCAGTAGAACTGTAGTTCTGTTGGAAATTATATTTCTACAAATATATTCACTTTATGTCACTCTGGGTTCTCTTAAAGAAAATGAGCTGAAATATGTGCCGGGTTTTTTTCTCGAGACAGTCACGTGATAGTCACGTGAAACCAGATATCGGTTCTTCCTCTGACCCATAACCTGAGGTCAGCAGGTCAGACGCTGTGGTCTCTGAAGGTAAGGTGTGAGGTGCACTCGAGACACTGAACATTTGTTCCCTTTTCATTTATTTACAGGCTTTCATTAAGACTAGTGTTTGTTTTTATTTGTATTAGTTGTTCTTTTCACTCTGTTATGCTGTGAGTCACTCTGTCATTATCTACTGGACATCATTGAAGGGGACCTACAACAACTGGGGATCATCTTGGTGGAGTACAGAGATCTGGCCCAATACCACTGCCGCTTGAGGAGTTGGGTGAAGCTGATTGGCTGTACACAGTGATGTTAGGCTAGACTGGACCATCAACATTCAAGGTCATGACTAATTGACTACTATAATGATTTATTAAGTACAGTGGTGTCATTGTACAGTTTCCTGCTCTTATGTGATGTCATGACCCAGTTGTTATTTAGGTCACATATGGTGGGCTGCAGGTGTGGTGTTGTCATGGTGATTATGTTATCTATTTCTGTGGTGGTTGATGGGGAGGATGTCTAACCACTCTACCTTGGGTCTGTTGATTGGCATCTTGGACTGGACTTCTTGTTCACTTTTGGACTCACTGATGTCACTGAGTCCTGTCTCTTCTCCCAGCCCGCTGTCTTCTGTGTCCACGCTGCTGCTCCTTGATCCCATCTTCTTCTCCTGCAACATCATCTTCCTGTCCTGGATGATGCCTCCTCCACCTTCTGCACTCTGTAGCGCCCTCATCTGTCTGCGGCGTGTTGGCGACTCATTGCCTAGGAATGGCTTACTCTCCACAGGACATGACTCCATCTTCCCGCGAATCACAGTGACCACGTCGCTCATGCTGCATTCGCTGGGTTTGGGCTGGATGGTCTTGGTGACAGAACATGTTCGGATCTTATCCACGCTTGTGTCGGAAGGATCTCCTGCGATGACTCGTGGAGTGACTGTAAGTTTGACCACATGTCTCTGCTCCTTTTTGTCTTCGTCCTCCACAGAAGAAGGTACCCAGCCACTGGGGGCAGCACTCTGCTTCCCTGAATGTTCGTTGGCCCAGCCCTGCCAACTTTTAGCCAGATTGGCCACCACAGCAGCACATCGTATCTTTCGTACTGCACGTTTAAACATCTGAGGCTCCTGTGGTGAGAGCGTGGTGGTTCCACTGCAACTCATCCTAACCTGGGAGCTTCACACAAAACTGTTATTGAAACTGTAGCTTTGGATTTCTGAAATACCTCTGCAACTTTGATGTTCACCGTAGAGTCCAAAAGTCCAACAAAGTCTTTGTGTAGTCCTGGACTGGGCTGAGACCTTTTAGATGCCAGTAACCACTGTACAGATGGTTGTGACCCAATGTCCACACGTCTCAGACTTTATATGGGGACGACTCTTCACAAAAACATCCAGATCGTCAGTCGGTCAGTGGGTTATCCTTCCATGATGTGGACTGCGATGACTTCGGCTCTAATCTTCTGCTGAAGCCCTCCTGGCTCCGCACTGGCCTTTAAATAGGGCCGGTAGTAAAGGAAGTCATGTCCACGTGAGACAGGAAAGTCCAGTGTCAACATTCTAGTTAGTGCACACGCTCGCACGCCGAGGAGTGGAATTTCTCCCACTGGGATCCAGGGAACAGGTGTCCAGTGTTTTTAGGGACTCAGAGGTTTGTGTCCTCACACAAAAATAATGCTGAAACACTAACAGGCTTAAGTCCTGACTCAGGTTGCCGTACATAAGTGTGTGTGTGTTTGCTCACTGTTTTGTGAGTGTGTGTCTGATGAGTATGTTTCGTTTGATCTTATGACGTTATGCTCTGTTAATTCCTATACAGTGTGGGTCAGGAAGAAACCATGTGAGGACGTTTTCTGTGTCTTAAGGTCAGCAGCCTTAATTCATTCATGTATGCAGGTTTAGTAGACAGGTTAATTAGCCGAGTGAAGGACACACTGAAACCAGCCAGACTACTGTAGATCTACTAACTGATTACAGTTTTTAATATTAATGCTTATCAAACATCTTATTACACTCATTAGTAATGACTGCTATTTGCACCAGTGCTATTTGCAATTACTTGATGACGGTGATGGATAAAATGATTTGAAATGTATTGAAACTAAATCAAATGGAGCAAAACAAAACTTCACAGCAGAGAAAATTAACATATATAATGTATAATCTTTAGAATTCCATTGTATTATATTTGCCATTTTATTTCCATTATCACTTTTTTTCACATTTTAAGGGATCTTGATTTTATGTTGCAGCATTTTACTGCTGTCCCTTTGTTGCTGCAACACCACAATTTCCCCAAAGTGGGATATAATAGAGTTCAACCTGATGTACTCTAATGTAGTCTATTTGAATCTAATCTGATCTAATCTAATATAGAATCTAATGAATCAACTGCCATGTTGAAGAGCGACCAATGACCAATGATTCATGAGCAGCTCCTGACGGTGACGCATTCACATGAAGACAAAGCAGAATTTGTCTTCTGAGGGTCCACGGACCAAAATAGACCATCCCGGGTTTGACCCGTCTCCAGCTCGGGTTTCTGGCATGTGTTTCAGATTCCTACATGGCTCGAAGCCAACTGCTGCTGCTGCCTGCTGTGAGTGTAAGGCTGAGGATGCCACAGAAATAGACATGGCAAGGCTGCTCCAGAATAATAAAAAAGTAACTTAGCACCACCTACAGGTGAGGGAAGAAAAGTGCCACAACGTTGTCAAATGTGAAATACCTTAATAATTAAATGGAACAGAGTACTTACTGAGCTGGTTAACTTTGTTAAGCAGCAAAGTAGTGCGACCATACTCACTGTCTCCCCCTACTGTTGTTACAGATGACAATACACTTCTAATGCCACAAGTACAGTAATTCAGCTGCTAATAGCACTGAGCTAAATTGATTAGCTTTTGGGTCAGACATGACAGAGTCCTGACAGTTGCACTCGAGTAAAGTGGGTCCTTGCACAGGGAGGCGTGGCAGTGTGGGTGGGGTTTTATAATCACCAGGTTTGCAAAATAGGATTTTCTCAATGTAGAGACAAATAATGATGATAATAATGTTACTTAGCACCTCCTGCAGGTAAGATAAGGCAAACCATTCAGTGCTGACCATCACAAAATACCAAACTACTACAATTAAACTGAGTATTTAGCCTTTAAGTGCACAAAGACTGAGAGTGAGCAGCAGACATTTGGCAGCTCCCAGACTGTCGGACTGTTCTCAGCTCAAGTGTTGTTTTAGCTTCACTAGTTATTGTTCTGTTGCTGGTCCAACAGCTTCAGTAAGGCTTCGGATCTGAAAGTCTGTGTTTCTGCTTCTGATATTTTCTGTTCACATTTTTCACCACTACAATCAGTCCTTGTGTCTCATCCTAATTCTGGGTTATAACAAAACCTTTCCCCATTACAGCTCCTGAAAACCTGTCTGCACCAACAGAACAGCTTGTCTTACACCCCAGTTGCACATAGATCACAGTTTGCAAATGCACTTGCGTCACATTGCACCATGGGTTTTTTTTTCTGTGGCTGCTGACGCCATCACTACAGAATGATGAGCCAGAAATGAGGCCTGTTGCTGTTGGGAGTAAAGAACTGCACACCCTCTGACACACACATACTGTAAAGAACTGCACACCCTCTGACACACATACACACACATTTACACTCATGAGCTCATGACAAACTCCTGTGACATGACACATACTCTATCAACAGCTAGCAGCTTCATCATCATCACAGCAACACGTTCACGCTCCTTCTTTTTTAAAATGTCAGTATCGTCTTTTTCTGACATCAAACACTGGTCATGCTGCCCATCAAGCAGTGGCATCGTTGTCTAGTTGCAGCAATCAACTTTGTTTCCAGCCTTGCATATACATGTGAACTGACACATTTAATCTGTACAGATTTAAAACTGTATCACAAACAAAAGTGATCAGTGATTGGACAGCAGCCTCAGCATGAGCTCTAATGAATGCTCTGTGACTTAACAAATGTGACTATCTATGGATGCCATCATACAGAAGTGCAGAGGGAGGGGCTAGAGGCTGGGGGGCCGTATCCTGAGGCCTCATTCAAACTGACATCACTGTAATAATAAGACAGAAAGTTGACCTTTTACTCTGCCTCGCTCACCGTTTGACTGTGAATGGGACAGCTGAGTCACATGTGACAGGATTTGTCAGCCTGCAGCTCACTTTATTCGCAGCAGTGTGGCCCTGTTTACCGTCTAAATTAACTATTCACTCTCAACTGAGATTAGGTGTGAATGTGAGTGTAAAGGATCCATCTAATTAATGCAGAGTGAAATTTATATTCTTAGAATTTACTGGTTTCCAGTTTCATCTGGCTTTTCATAATCCCTCCACAGCCACATGCTGAAACTCAGCATCAATTTTAGCTTAACACAAATAGTAATAATATAACAGTGTTGCAGAGAAATACTTTTTATTTACTCAGCAACTGTTTTCTCAAATATTTCCTCTTTTTTCCGAGCTCAGGAAATAAGTCTTCAAACACCGGAGATACTGAAGAGAAAGTTCTGCTGACCTGACTGCAAGTGCAGCAGTGAAGACATTAGATAATGGAGCTAATGTAATGGAGTCCATTTTCTAAGGCTCAGCTGAAAGCCCTTTACACAATGTGCAAGCTATTAATATATGGCAAAGACAACAAACTATCGGCAGTATGTCAAACTGATTGGTAGCGTTTCATTAGTGACTGGGCTGAAACAAGTATGGACCAATGCACCAGTAGTTCACCTGTAGATAACTGTTGTAGAAAAGATTTCAACTCATTTAAGGGTTCAGTTTGATCTCAAATAGATTACGCCCAGTCACCAGTAGTATCACGTTGGAATTTGGGTAATGTATTAAAGCTTTTCACCTTGAAAATAGTATTGAACATGAAAATATAATGTTAAAAAGCTTGCAAAAAATTGTATCATTAAAGATAACTATATCATTTTTCATGACCGGATATAATTTGGCAGACAAAACAACAATCATGTACCAGTACCACATTACTGTTCTTCTAGTTCCACCATATGAAAAGTGACAAATCAGCGATAGACACAGTTATTCAACCGTCCATTAACCACTAGCTCCTCATTAGAACGAAGCTTCTGTTATCTGTTATGAGTCTTGGTCGGGGGAAGCACGTGTCCATGGTTGGGGCCCATGATGAATTTATTAAAGTAATTTTTGACAGCAGTAATATTTTTTGTGTGCAGCAGAGCTTGTTGCCGGTTGAGGGGATCATTTATAATGTAGCTTGTTAGAACATAAGCATCTGTGCACAAATCCTTCATTTGGTCATTTCTACCACAGCCCAGAACATGTACTCCACCTCGTGTTTTTTTTTTTACTTCAAAACCTTCCACAGTCACCACTAGACTTTTTCCCTTCTTCTGTCCCTGACACATGAACCATTTTCCATTCATCACATCTTCATCATCTATAATCATCCTTTTTTTCCAGGAGATAATAGAAGTCTAGCCTGGAGACAGACGGCCACAATTTCTGCCTGTTCTAATTCTCATTGCTCCAAATAACCTTCAGTGGGCCACAGCCTACATTGCTCTAACTTTCTTCTCTCTTGTAACAGGTTTCTGTCACAGAAAGCAGACCAGACATAACCAAATTATTTCCAGTATGTAGAACTCTGGAGAGGAATAGCAATGTCCTGTTTATGTAGATATTTAATGCTGTCACAGTTATTGGTCGTCTGAATGGACATTTGACAAAACCTGGTGTTTTTGTTCTACACACAGGACTTTGAATAAAGAAAAAATAATGTGTTCATAAAAATTACAAATATAACATTGTGTTTCTAAGTATCTTAATTTCACACAAAATGAATGGAGCAGACATGCACAATGTCAAAAAAGATACACTTGTATGATGTCACAAGAAAGTTGCTAAACAATGATGGAAGATAAGAGCAAATTGTTTGCTGTTAAGATAAACTAACATTAGCTAAAACAGTCCTGGTACAGACACCAGAGCTAATGTTAGCTACAACAGTCCTCGTACCGACACCAGAGTTAACATTAGCTACAACAGTCCTCGTACTGACACCAGAGCTAACGTTAGCAACAAAAGTCCAAGTACGAGCATCAGAGCTAACGTTAGCTACAGCAGTCCTGGGGGAGACCTCAGAGCTAATGTAAGCTGCAACAATCCTAGTACAGACAGCAGAACTAACATTAGCTACAACAGTCCTAGTACAAGAAATGGAGCTATCACTAGCTACAGACAATATACAGTATCCAGGCCACAACAGACCATATGTCAGAGTTCAGCACAAAAAAAATGTCTTCTACTGTTAAGTATAACAGCTGTAAATGTACTGTGAGTTTGTAGTAATATGTGACTGTAGCAGACAGATGGTCTCTATACAAAACTGTCACTATGGAAATTAATTAGACATTAAAAAAGATATTTATATTTATTAAATATGTATCTTTCATAAAACTGAGATGAATTACAAATCTCTTTTTTACCATTCAATATTTTTTCTTACTATATTTTTTGGAAAATATCAAATATTCAGTCGTCAACTGAGACTTTATGTCTTTGTAGCTCTATTATATATGCATTAACAAAGTCATGTGTCTTCTCCACTGACTGGGTATTCATCCATTATTAAATCCATATAAGTCAGGCTGTCAGAAATGTACAGGCCTGAAGGGACATTTAATAAATGGCTCCTCTATGGTCAGGCCCACATATCCAGCCCATGCTTTCATCACCCAAAGCTATGGATTAAATATGACTCTTCTATACACTTATTTTTTCTTGTTGAATCTAATTTCTGGCCGACAAGATATTTGATATCTATACGAAAAAAAAGATGTTTAGGAAAAGATGTTTAAGAATTGAAAAAAGAAGAAGACAATTTTGTATTTATTTAGAAACATCATAATTGATCTGTAGATTAAATTTGGAGGCAGTGGATATGGGGTTGAATTGCTCTTTGGAGTACAATTGGAGTATTTGTTTTTCCTTCTTTAATTTTTACCATATTTTATTATCACGTTGCAATACCTAAATAAAACAGTAGTTGATACATGATTGCTGTGAGAAGCAGCATGTGTACATAAAATATGTATGTCCAGGAAAGACACACACAGATGTGTGAACATGCAATAGCAGGACACAGGACCAAAATGTGTAGCAGAGAGACTTAGATTTCTAGGACTCATGAGGCATAAGAATCAGACACAGAATCATTCAACACTTGCAAACAGTATCATTAGAACTAAGAGTGTTAGTATTTACAGAGAAGGAGCTTCAAGTCATAGCCACCACCTGTGGATACGGATGAGAAGTCACTTGCCCTGTGTTTGTGGACGCTTCATTGGCAGAGTTAGGAATTTGATTCAATGGTTCATTTTAAGATGAAAAATTGTGTAATACAAGATGCATAATCTGGTATTACACAATTTTTCACCTTAAAATGAACCATTTGAGAGGTTTGGAGAGGTGTAGAAATAAGGGCAAGGATGACTCCACCTTTCCCTTCTGCTATCTTTCTACCTTCCACACCACAGTCTTTGGGTGTGTTTAAAAAGTGTAAAACGTGACTGTTTTTAGACAAAACCTCACTATGTGACATGTGAAATCCAATTTTCTCTTTTATAGTCCTTTAATAAAGACTGGATGTAGCATATTGATGTAAAGTACATATAATATTAAGGGCCATCATACAATAAACCAAAAACTATTATTCAAATCCTTAAATCTGGAAAACAAGTAATTAGTAGTCCACAAATGTAGGCCACAGCAAAAGGTGAAGATTTTCTTTTTTTTCTTGTTAGAGAGCACCATCTAGTGACCAATGATAAGGTTTGTAGCTGTAAGAGTTATTGTGGTGAAGACAATTACCACACCTATAAAATAGACAAATACATTTCTCTGTGTGAATAATAATTATAAAAATATAAAAAATACATTTCTCTGTGTGAATAATAATTAGGGACAAATTTTTCATATAAGATTTAATATGGATTATATATAATTCTAAAATTAGCCACAATTTGGTTGAAAATATATTTTTTGAGCATTAATATATCCTTGAAACAATAGAATATTATTTGATTCTCATGCTTGTCTAGTTTGCCTTGTGGTGTCATGTGCCTGTGCTTATTCAAAACACGGCATGGTTGTTGTACCTTAGGTTCTAAGGCTCAGCTCAAAGCCTGAGCTGAGTTCACCTGTAGATAACTGTTGTAGAAAAAATTTCAACTAATTTATGGGTTCAGTTTGACCTGAAACAGATTACGTCCATTCTCCACATGAGGCTCGTCTGTGCTAAATAATGTCAAACTGCTGGAAGCAACTGAATGGCTCAAATTATCATTTTTAAGCAAAAAAAAAAAAAAAGAAAAGAAAAGAAAAAAAGAAATCAAAAATAGTGGCTCAAATAGTGGGCCCCTTTCGCCCGGACTTCCAACGGCATATGACCCGCTGTACATGCTGTAAGAGTACCACTGCTGTAACGCTTGAATGATAACAAGCCTCCATTCACTAGGTGGCAGCAACACATACAGTGGTTTTGACAGATAAAAATATAAATGTTATCAGGTTCTCAATAGTATTTCAATAATCCTATACAAGTTGTAATAATCCTACAACTTGTCTTATTCCCTACCTAATTCCCCTCATTGGTCGAGGTCTGCCAATCTTCCTCTAGGAAGTTGCCTTCGGTATACCTCTTAAAGCAGTAAAATGTAGAAAAAATAAAATTACAGTCCATCCTTTTAAGCATCCAATGTAATGTCCAAATATGTACAACTAAACCCCCGCACGAAATGTTAACCCCTCCACACACACACACACACACAAACAGCTAAACCAAAGAACTGTGTAGCCTTATTAACATGCAAAATGTCAGCAATTGTATTGGTGCCCTCTAGTGGTTAAACTATGAATTGGTAAATAAAGTTGGGGCGGGGGTTGTACAGTCTAACAAAACATTAAATATCTGAATATTTGATTTGAAAGTGATATTTAACTCGCAAATACACAGTTCAGGTTATTTTTACACTGGACAACCATAGTTAAATGCTTTAAAACATCGCATCATGATCTGTCCTTTACAGATCATGTCGCAACTGACCATGGAGTAGCCGTTTTCGAAAGGCTTCTCCACAAGTTAAATATTCGCAAAAGTAAACACTTAAAGAATTATGAGCGGACTCTGCAGAAACAATGCCAAGGCGAAACCTATGCATCCGAACGTAAACCCGAACAAAAGCGGCAGAACAGCTCCTGTCATGGAAAAGGACAGCGACGTAAGCACCAAGCGAAGTCCGGCTAGCAGCCCTGATACCGACCCATAGAAACTTCAACTTCACAACCCACGCTGGACAGTGTCCTGGCTGCCATCGGGAACACATGACCACCGCTCGATTGCAAACTCAACCAAATTCCAGACCTCACTCGCGAACCTTGCAACATTTCCGATTCGGAGAAGCGGTGCACGGAGCTAATGGAAACCAACAAGTCTACTAAGCTTAAGCTAATAGTTCTCGGCGCTGCAATATTAAAATCATTGGCCTACCAGAAAAGGTTGAGAGAAGGAATCCAACGCAGTTTGTCATAGAGTTTCTCCTGGAGCTTTCTGGTCCAATAGCTTCAAAGTTGATCGGGTGCACCGCATCGGTCCATCGTCCTCATCTAGACGTCCACAGACCATGATCGCCATTCACCGTACTCCGGAAGGAAAACCATCTTGAAACTCGCTTGTCTGCAGGCTCCCGTGAACTTCAACGGTGTCTGAATCAGCATGTACCCGGACTTCCGGTCTGAAGTCACCGAACAACGCCGCAAAATAAATAAATAAATAAAATGAAATAACATAAAATAAACCGAGGGATGCCGGAATTAAACAGGTCATTCTCTTCCTCGCTAGATTGATCTTCAACTATGGTACAGAGCAGAAAATATTGTAGGATGCCACGGATGTTCAAAGACATTTTCATTACATCTGTGGTTTGTCTTCACTCTTTTCATTTTCTTTCTTTTCATTTTCTCTTCTACATGAAACTTGATGTTGATGTTTTGACAATTATTTTACTCTTTTTTTCTAACAGGACACAAGAGTGATGATATACTTATGATGGTACAGTGACTATCCAAGTTACATGTGAATTACTTCCTTTTTAAATGTTTTCTTTTTATCCAAAGGGTTGTTTCTTTTTCATCCTGGTCCAATACAAGCAGCTGATTTATAATTGGGTCTAGGAATATCCAGAATGGACAATTGGAATAGGATGGATCCTGGCTCAGGCTTCAGTGATCTGTAACCCAGTGGTGGTTGTCATTAAGATTATTCAGTTTGGTGTTTACCAATGATACACCATTAACTAGTCAACTGCTGAAACTCAATGCATATATTTTGTTATCTAAGATAATGATAACATCTTTATGTCTTCATTATTTTCTTCTCTCCGACAGAGGATCAAGGCTTAGACAGCACCTGTGAAAAGTAGTGTCAGTTCCCGCGCAGCAGACCACAGTGGTCCCAAGGACTTCACTAAGTGAAGATTTGTCTTTTGAGATTTGTCAGTAGATTGTAAAAGATGACTGAACTCTTTATAATTCCACAACTACATTAAAATATTAAAATAATATTGTTTTGTGTTAATGAACTAGGTATAAATAAAATAAAAACACATTACTTATAAAGACACACATTCTCAAAACTGTGATTTGAAAAAACAGAATTTCACATCTTGGTTTTAAATGTAGAATATTTCAGAGAATATTGCAGACATGTTAGACAATACCATTAAATTTTATTCATTTAAAAAATAAACCTAAAAAAATCATAACACTATGACAAAAGCTCAATTTAGAGAATATAAATTTATTGTCAATATAAAATAATAGGTCATATACAAATAATGAAATGTATTATATGAATGTTGTTGATACTGCCTTTAGATGCTGTTCAGCACCATCTGGTGGCCTTCATATAGCACAGCCTAGAGAAAAAAGAGACAAATGCAGTTAAAAAGAGGTAATAACATAATTATATGATACAGTGATATTTATATATGAAAGCTTCTTACTATGTGTTTGAGACACTTTAAATATGAACACTGAGTGCTTTTCAACCTTATTACAACTACATAATACTATCATTTGTGAAATTGTAGACCTTAAAACATCAAACTCCATCAGGTTGAAACTGAATGCTTAACTTAGTACAGTAGTGCAATCAACTACTTTTAAAAGCACCCCGGCTAGAAAAGAAAGGAAATTACGTGCTCGGCAACTACAAAACCCTAAACGGTTTTTCATGAAATGTGAACCAACATCGTTTGTAGCAGGGATTTCTTCCACCACAGAGCTATGTTGCAGCAGGGGGTGGAATGGGTAATACCACTGCTCTGCTCTCCCTCCGCAAACCTCCACCAACAACCAGTGATGGCGTCACTGGGCTGGATGTAGAGAGGAGGTGCCCACACCATTGCACATATAAGAAATATAATAACACGAATGGTGTAAAAACACAAAGACAAACACAGTCACACCACACAACAGGCAAAACGAGACTAATTTCAAGTCGTTGTAGGTAATAAACTGCCATGCTTTATAGTCTATAATAGCACACACGACCTCATTTGATAGAAAACATCGAATAATGTATATAATTTTTGACATCAACTTCAAATAAAATGTACTGATTTGATACGTGTTAAACATTTAATTAAAATGTAAAAGTTTTTGGTACCATTATGAAAAATAAAAAGACTTACTTTTCTAGACGCCACCATGCGTGACAGCCGTTAATCATTAATATTTGACACTATAAAACACCTGACAGCTGTAAAACACCTTATATTGGCTACAAGGTCAAATTTAATACAAAATAAAAAACGAATTATCTATTCCAAAAAAGGGGAAGTACTTAAAAAAAGAAACTTTAAATAAAATTAAAATTCCCCGTTATATGGATAACCGACTGCAGCGCCACGGAGAGAATAGAGGAACGTGTACAGTGATGCCGATGGAAAAGTCTAGAACGAGGAGGTGGCAAAAAAGGACTTCTTCTTTGAGCTGTTGACAACTTGAGTACAAACTGCAGTACCGCCATCTTTTGGTTGGAAGGAAATTTATACCTTATTTTAAGTTCCGAGAAAAAGGGACATCTGACTTCAATTTCAAAGTATTAAAAAACAGACTATGATTCAAAGTTAGCCAGAAGTGAGAATAAAAGTGTTTGTTTGTTTGTTTGTTTCCAATTCCGAATACCTGAATTTCGAAGGCAGTAGCCAGCAGACAATGATTTGAAATTATTCTCACTATTTTCACGCTTTTTGGCAGCCAAGCGCAGGAACACACACAAAAAACACATAAATAATAGCTTTATAAATCAATAAGGTTTGTTCTCTTCTTTAACTTTCCTTAAGTTTTTTTTATTAACAAAATAAAATAACGAAAATAATACACTTGAGTTATTAACTAAAAATAAAAGACGCACGTTTTTATGACACACAGCACAACCTGTGTCACATGCAGTTAAACACCAAATGACTGGTTCAAACTTTACGTAAATATAAAGTAGTTATAGAAATGGGGAAAATTATTTTTCAGACGCGTGTTTGCACACCAACTGGCAACCCTCCGTCCGGCAGCGGGCGATTTGACGCAGACTCTCAAAGAAACATGGCGGATGAAGTTGAGCAGGTCGGTGTGGTTACCTCAAATTTTACAATTTTCAAGTATTTAATGAAACGTCTATTTACTACCGTGGAGTAATCATAAAAAGAGTCCTTGTTACGAATGTAGTGTTAACTAATGCAGTATGTTGATACGCAGCTTTAGCAATTATGAGCTACCACTCACGAAATGCTAAGTTAGCTGCGTTAGCCCGCAAGGCTAAATGGTGGTTAATAAGTAGTTCGTCACGGAGTAAACGTGCTAGTAACTTAAATGTTTATTTATTTATAAGAATTCGTGATGTTTTACTACATTCTACTTATGGTGGTTACGGTTTAAGAAGTAGTACAATCGAGGTAACCGTGTTCTACTTACATTATTTAGAAACATATTAGTGAAAAGTATTGAATAATATGTGCGATAAAAGCTTTTGATTCGAATTAGATAACTTTTAGATGTTTTTCGGATTGTTGCAAATTTTCAAAATTCTCATTTTAGAAATAAGTATTTGTTACATGTCAAACAGCATGGCAAACCTTAAAGCTACTTACTTGCAAGAGCAAGTTAACATAGACGTGTGTACAATACCAGTTTCTATTGGTCTATCAACACATACACGCACAATTATAATCTGCTGTCAGGAAAATAAGCAGAACATTTCCTCTTACAACTAATATTTAATCAAATAATTACTCTCATCTGTGCAGCAACCAACCACCAACACGGTGGAGGAGCCACTTGATCTGATCAGGCTGAGTCTGGATGAGCGGATCTATGTGAAAATGAGAAACGACAGAGAGCTACGTGGACGACTACATGTAAGTACTTTAGCCTGCAGTGGTCAAGTAGGTCTTTACTGGATTCCTGGTGCATTCCTGAAACTCCCTTGTTTACCCCCAACTTCATGTTGTCTGTTCAGGCATACGACCAACACCTTAACATGATCCTAGGTGATGTGGAGGAGACAGTGACAACAGTAGAGATTGACGAGGAGACTTATGAAGAACTTTACAAGGTAGCGTATCAGTCTGTTGCCCTTTATTTAAACTAAGTAGTGATGGAGCTGTTAATTCAGACTGTCAGCTCTGCTCATCAGATAGGCATGTGTAAGACAATCAAGTAAAATGTGCAGCTGGCCTCAGAATAATAGTTGGTTCCACTGTCTATATACACACATCTGCACTGTGTGAAAAAATAGACATTTAGTGGTGAGGTCAATTTTAAGACTAAGTTAGTTAACTAGTGGTCTGGAAATTTTACAGTAAAATGTAAAGATCACGATGGATTAATTTTTCTTCAGTCCACCAGGCAAATAAACTCCCAGGGACTTGAGTCTAGAAATGTGGCCTTAGACCAGTATTATTTATTAAAATACTTTTTTAAAAATTATTTTTGTACACAAACTATTGTCTTATATTGTCAACCTTATTTGGTTTGTTTCCTTCGGCAGTCGACCAAGAGGAACATCCCCATGCTGTTTGTCCGTGGGGACGGTGTGGTGCTGGTGGCTCCACCCCTCAGAGTTGGTTAACCCTGACAATGACCTGGCATGACAGCACCCTAGCTGCCGGTCTGAGGTTTGATCCCGCTGAAGCCTGAAGCAGAGGGTGGCGCTGTCCTGACAGGCTGCAACATTCAGGGAGTAAACATCCTTAGTCATTGTGCTACAGACTGACTTCAACATATCAGCCTAGAATTACTTTAATGACTGAGAATTCAGACGCTCAGCAGATGGTTTTGTTTTGTTCTGACACTGAGATGTAAAGGTTTTGATTCAAGAAATTAAAAATGGGAAGATTTGTCTGTGTTAACAAAAACATTTTATTAAATTTAGGGAAATTGGTATTAATTTTAAATTGGAAACATCAGGGAGTTTCTTTAAAAAATAATGTAGTCATGAATTACATTTTAAGTTGTAATTATTTAGTAGAATGGATTATTTACTCTGAAACTGTGACTTTAATTTCCTCACTTTTCCAAAGTATTAAATTCTTACAAATTTTCTGTTCAGTCTAAAAAACAAATCTTGAACATAAACTTACTTCAAGTAAAACTTTTGTATTTTCTCTGAGTTAAAGTGAACACGATCTGTCTGGACCAGAGACTGGCTGTATGTTTCTGGTTGATGCTTTTAGTTTGGTCTTGTTATGTATATTTATATTTTTTTAAGTTGTTGGGATGTATTAGTCTTGCGTGAACATGGACATGTTTTCATTTGGTTTTGGTGAAAAAAATAAAAGAGGAAAATTAAGTAGTGTCTTATCATTTATATTAAAATAATGAATCTGTTAAAAAAAATCAGTTATTTGCTAGACCAGTTCTTTTGTACGTAATGTGAATCATGTTAGAGCCATACAGTTTATAAAAAAAAACAAGCTGAAATAAATAAACATCTTTGTAATCATTACAAATATTGTGTTGTTTTGTGTTTTATTATAACTTAACCCTCCTGTTGTCCTTCGCATTTTTGTACACACCCAGTGTCCTTGCAACAAATTTTCATCTTGTCCCAGAATATGAGTATGAATGAAGATGAGGGAAAGTTGGCACAAGGCGTGCAGTACAGGAGCATGCACACGCACACAACAAAGGCACATTGGGACCCGAAGTACCACACAAGGGTTAAAAGATTAAATTAGAATCGTTTCGCTTAAGTCGCTATCAATTTATTCCGTCAACCTGCTTTTTCTGGTTTAGCCACTAGATGTCAGCACAGATCCAATAAAGCCATATCTGTTCCCACTTAAACATTAAACCCGAGACTTTTCCTGCTTTTTGGGTTACATATTTAAAAACTAAAAACAATATGATGAAAACAATATGATTTAAATAAAGATATCACAATTATTGATCAGCGTTTGTAATACGTATAATAGGCTAATAAACAAATGCAAATTTCATTTAACTTATTGAAAAAAATGATTGAAGTTCCTTTTCCATTTTTAAAGGATTCTACACAGTATCTTTATTTTACTAGAAGTGCTGTAATTGAATCACATGAATGAATATTGTAGGGTGGAATCTGTTATTTGTGTCACTGTTCATTTAGAAATACTAACAGTAGAAAAGCAAGACACTGAAGACCGTCTATGCTGAATAAAAAAAGACGTATTTATAAAGCTGTCAGCACAGCCCTGTGATTGGTCCACAAGGTCACAGGTCACCTGTAAAACTGTCTACAACTGAAGAAAACATTACCATGCTAATAAGGTGTGGACAGATGACCCGTCTGAAAAAGACATTACACACAGTATATACCAGTGTCCACAGACAACTAGGACCAGAACCAGAACCAGAGTTTGAATCTATGTGACTGGTCACATACAAGTAATCTGGTTTGAATAAATGGCTGAATAAACAAAACACAAACTGATAACGTACGTGTGTAGAGCAGAAAGTAGGATTCAGTACACCATCAATAGAAAAGTCAAGCCATATATTTCCTACTAAAGGAGCACTTGCTGAATTTAGGAATAGTTTGGAACATTTTTGTACTATATGAACACTTTTTATATAGTACTATAAAGTATCTTAATATTAAAAATGTATAATTTTAATATTAAAATTTAATGTAGATAATAAACTGTTAAACTGTAAATATAACAGTAAAGAATAGGTTAGTAAAAATGTCTCATTGTTATCATTGCTGCCTGTTAAAGTTTCTCACAATAAAAAGTCAGGGTCTAAACCCCAGAGATGAAGTCATTTGATCTGAAGACAAAAGACAAAAAAATCAACTCCAAGATGAAACACCACGTGACCACCTTAGAGCATAGAGCTGGAACTGTGACATCATGTGGGTGATTGACAGCTGAGCAGACAAGGAGACGGTTGAGGATTCACAAAGAGATATTTGTGGCATGTTACTGCCGCTGCTGCTTCTCACAGTTCATGAATGTATTAATGTAACAGACATCATCTGTTTGTCAGGCTCAGCTGTTTGGTTCCCACTCTTTTCTTCATAGTATTTTCCAGGACATTTGCAGCTGCTTCAGACAAAGACAGACAAATTATCACATTACACTAATATTATTGTTCTTCAGAACTGTTCTTCACCACAGCTGTACTTTACATTGGTTACATTTAATTACTTCTATCTTTAAATCCAGTGGCCCATAAAGGTTTTTTATATAAACATTTCTGAAATACAATATAAATAAAATATTAAATAATTACAATTTTGAATATTGTAACATGTTGCTGACATGAGATATGGACATAGAAACAGAATTTTACCCAATCACCATCCTAGATCCTCGAATCTCATGGCTTAACGACCATTAATTTGTTTGTCTGAACAGAGTGGATATCTGCACCGTTTCATGTGCTCAGCTGTGCACCTCTGCCACAAGAGGTCACTGGTGTAACAGTGAACAGCCTTGTGTGTAAAAATGTGTAAATATGATTTACAGTTTCAAATGCAACAGTTGTGTTGGTATAATATTATGTTTATGTTTTTGTGTAAAACTGCCTGAACCAGTAACCTGCTGTGAAATTGTATTGGGATAGTTACTGAAACTAGCTTACTTTGGCACAGCGCCACCTAGAATATTCTCCACCAGTGGCCACTGTTTAGGTCATTAACAGACGACACAGTATCAGCAACACTTCCTAACTGGAATGTTGTTAGCATTGTCTCTAGACTCCAATCTGATTGGCTAATGGTGTCACAAATGACTTTCAAGGTGAACTTTTTGTAATTCATGTTTTCCATTAATGGAAAATCAGTCTTTCAGTTCCCATGTTTTCCAGGGCACAGGGACTCTGATGGAACATAACTGTGCTGTATGTGAAACATTAGACACAGACAGGACTGTCCTCCAACCCTGAGTCGAGCGATTCTTCCCACAGGTCAACAAATAAATACTTAATGACTTCATGCGTCACATGCCTTCACACTTGTGTCAAATATTCTTTCTAATCTGCACAGCCCTGAAGTGATGAGGCCACACCACTCACTGTGTTCACACTTAGACTAAAAATGTCTCTGCTGTGGGGAAAGTTATTTAAACCTGTCTCTGACATCAGTTCCAACCCTGACCATGGTCTCCTGCTGTGGTCTCCAGGTTCCTGGACTGGAGCTTTGCCAGGAAAGTTGTGGATGAGAATCCATGGTACTATCAAAGCTCAGCTTTTGTAATCCTGACATGCAAATGACAGATTTAAAGTTTCAATTGTGACTTTTTTGCCAGGGTTTGGCAAGTAAGCATGTTATTAAATATATCTATGCTATTACTGCAGCTATTATATAGCATATACTATAGATATGGCTCTGAATACACAGAGACACCAACCAATGAGAGGTCTTGAGGAAGGACTACCATTGCTGCAGCTCTCACGTGAACAGAAAACTGGAACCGTTCAAATATCATTTATGGATTGGAGTCCATAGAACCAGAGTAATTAGTAACAACCTAACCTAATGAGAACACTTTCTCATGCGGTACTTTTAAGGTGGGGTCAAACAAAGACCACGACAGTTTAATGGATGTATGGTGATCTCCTCTCAGGTCGCAGGTCCTGCTACACTGCATGAACAACAACAGTTATCACCTTTAAGCCTGGTGCACTGACCTTCTGGCAGGTCGTCTTTCACACTCAGTGAAAACTTCTCCCAGGGTCAGGAATGTGACAGCATGTTTGATCTGTACCAAACCTCCAGGACCACACAGTCACTTCTGCTGCTCTTCAGGATAAACTGACTTCTGTCTTTAATCCAACGATGCAGCTCCATCACATTCTTTCACAGTCATGTCTCCACGGAACATGGACATATCTGCACATAAAGGAAACGAAAACTCTTATTCATGTTTCACTAATGGTGGCATCAGCAGCCAATTCTATCAGAGCAGCAGCGTCTGCTGTCTGCAGGAGAATCAACTTACTCTGGAGCTCAGCTACAAAAATGACCATTAACAGTTCATTTAAACATATAAATACAAAACACAATTGATTTATAAATGGCAAAAAAAAGACTATTAAAAAATTAATATAATTAAGGAACATTATTGGATTCAAATATGTTCTATTTATTAAAAATAACCCCTCTCTCTGAAATAATCCAATAATATAACTGAATGTGTGCGATAGTGTTGGCTAACCTGTTGATAAATACACATTTGATACATTTGCATATATATAAATGTCACATTTACTTGTGATTATGATTATGATCTTATTCTCAAAGACCTTGAAGGAATTCAACTAGAACTATCTTAGTTCTAATTCCACAGGATTGAGACTTTGTTAAGACTTTGAGCAAAGATGAAAGGCAGTGATAACCACGGGCCAATAAAGTGTTTGTCACATGGTGAAACATCGATGACTGAAATAAGTGCAGGCAGTTGGTCGTTTGGCACAGGTTATGCACACTGGCACCGAGGTGAACATGTGACCTGCATTCTCAGAATAAACCCAATCAGTGCAGGGAGAAATTTGTCCTTGGATAAGTAACACACACACACACACACGCACGCACGCACGCATGCACACACATACACACACTGTGGTATTAAGAATATTTCATACCTCCTCTGTCCACTGACTATTTCTGTACTGTATATAATGCTGGCCCACACCCCAATGTGTGTGTGTTGCTGCCTCTCACTGATGAACTGAACTGATGTCCTCACTCTCAAAGTATGTTTAGCTAAATAATGAAATTAGTTACTGATGTTGATAATGTTTATATGAAGCTGCGCGGTGAGGCAGTGGCCGGTGCTGCTGTCTCACACCAAAAAAGGTCAGCAGTTGTAGTCAGTGTATTCTGGCTTCAACAAATTTTTTTTTTTCTGTGAAGAGTTTCATATCCTCCCCGTGTCTGCTTATGCTCAGTAACAACACAAATACAAGTTTGCTAGTTTGCACCTAAAAGTTTTGGAATTTCTAAAATGTAAGGTGTATATTTTTTATAATGGCTTATTGAGAATGTCAGAAAATAATAATAATTAATAGGAATATCCGATCATATCGGCACAATATTAGCACATTTAGTGATATCTGTAAGAATCGTTATCATTTTGTTTTCCTCTGAACATGAAAACTCAATAATGCAATGCCTGGGTTTCAGCAAATTATATGTGCCCTAAAAAATAGCAGATTCCAGTGTTCTCTATTCTCTATTCAAAGTGTCCTCAGATGTTTAATGTTTTACATGACTTTCTTAATTTTCATCTATTCTAAATTCATTCTATTCTCGAACTCATTACAACAGTCATTTCACGACTGCCCTACTTGTGCTGTACAGCTGCATGTGACAAACGTCCTTTGTCCTGAACCCAACATAATGTAATGTACCTGAGTTTGTAGTCATCTGAACTCGCCTCTCTTTCTTACCCCTCAGTGAACCTCCGTCTTTCCTAAATTAAAGCCTAATTAAAACAGATTCTTTTGAACATGCACATCATAAAAGCTAACGGCAGTGTGTGTGTGTGTGTGTGTGTGTGTGTGTTTTCATCTGTCTGAGTCTCAGCAGTCGGCTCATTACAGGAACCCTAACAATACTGTACATGTCTGGAAGAGTTAGTTTCACCCATTGTCTCTCTGCTGAAGGGTTCGTAGTACAGTCTGTAAGAAGACAATTCATCAGACAATGCAGGACCAGGTGATGAATGAAGGCTGTCGTTATCAGGGACCAGTGACCAGGAGATGTTTCAGCACAGAAAAACATGTTTTTAGTCAACATCAACACAACAGTCACCCAAGAGTGAACGGTTTTACTTGTTTTTTTGGCGTTCTGGTCCAGTTGTCACGACAGAAATAAATCGATCGAACAGAAACAGATTTTTCCGCCTGAAAAAACGTAATGTTGCTTAAAGCATCGGTACTGTTGTCCTGGCACCTGAGAGGAACCAAGACAAGTGGCTTTCTTACATTTTTAAAATAGATTTTTATCTGTGAATACCCAGGCCGCACAATGCAGGAGTGGTTAATGCTCCTGTCTTACAGCAAGGAGAACTGTGGTTCGATCTCCAGCAAGTTCTCCAGTTTCATTACACAAAACAAAAATGTGCAGGATTAGGTAAACTGTTCACTCAGTATAGGTTTATGATCTATATTTGACCGTGTGATGGACTATGGAACTCTCCAGAATGTAAACCAACTACCGCCTAATGAGCTCCCCAAAGACCCCAAGATTAAATGATACAAGATTACTGTATTAGTATTTGTTATTACCATTAACAAATAATTCAAACTGTGAGTTCCTGTTAAAGACTAAAGTTTAACACACTTTCACTGCAAAGATATATTAGTACTCCCAGTACTGTTCCTTGGAGCACTCCTAGTACTGCTCCCACAGTCTGGCAAACTCAGCCAGTAAAGCATTAGCTTTAACCTGAGGGTCGAGTCCCTGTTCATGCGTTCATGCGTATTTTGAGCTTTTGGTCTTGTAGTGAAAGATGGGGCGGAATGCCGGTTCGAATCCCAGCCTGGGCTGTGGTGTGTTGAGTAAACACCTAATAACTCAGTGTCACCTACAGCTCAGCTCCAGTTCCTCCTGAGTCTAGAGTCTCTCTCCATCACTCAGCACTCCACTCTATCAACCACTTGATGATACAGAGTCAGGAATCTGTCTGCGGACAGACAGAGACGTGTCTGTCTGTCCGTCCGTGTCTCTGTGACACCTTTGTGTTATGTTTACAGACCATCGGTCTCCATTAACGTCCTGACTGTGTGCCTGTTAAGGTGGCTGCTACCTCTGTGAACATGTGTGACACAGTCCTGCCATCATTTCTTAACAAGGTGTCATCGATGGCTCTTTCTTATTGTGCTGTAAACCTCAGTCTGAGACATTGGTCACAGTGCTGCTAAAAAGTGGGTGTTACCCCCCAATCTGATGTCATGTTTTCAATGAGGGTCTTATTTGTATTCTTCATCTTGTTCTAAATGTGTCATAATTCTTCTTCTTTTTCAGCTGTGATACCTTTGATTTAATCAGGCTTTTATTCAACCCTCAAAAATGAACCATTTTCAAATCAGATCAAACATCACTTTTTTTTACCACTTTTTTAAATCTTGAACTCAAACCTCAAATAACTGAGGCTCATCAATGGGTTTGGATACAGAACCATCTGAATTTTTATTTTCCTGAAAAAACAAAAAGGATGTGTATTCCAGTCCTTAGACCAGACAAAGAGCCAGGTTGTGACCTGGTGTCAAAGGTCATGCTCCAGAATTCTACAAAGAAGGAATTCTCTGATGTAAACACGACTGGAGAAGAGAGCAGACCGGGACATGGAGGAGATGGAGGAGATTTGGTATTTTCAGCAATAAAGAGTGTGTTCTATTGAACTGTCTTAATTTCAGAGGGACCTTAACTGGGACTCTACCTGCCCACAGGGTTCCAGACAGAAAGTAAAAAATAAATAATTCAAGGTAAGTATGTAGTACGTAATTCTACAAGTGACCTCATACACACACACACACACCACACACACAGTACCAACATGACCTCCCTGCTGAGCTCTTTGTAGGTTTAACTTCCTAATCCTGTCGCCTGTAATATTTGAGAAAATAATTTAATATGTTTGACTGCAGGTAGGGGGCAGAGGAATGCGGAGGAGTTCAGGAATCATGGAAGGCCAGAGCCCCACCTGTTGTTCAGTGATTTTCTTTCAATCAGTTTATGTTGTTTTTGTTCACCTGTTCTCATTTTTTATTTAGTTTTATTTTTCGCATTTAATTATTTTTAAATTGATTTATTTTATACCTTTTTCTTAAGAATTTTCCATCTCTCTCTGTAAGTGTCGTTCAGTTTATGGATCACGACCGGCCTTCAGGAACAAATTCAGTTCAAACCCGAGGATCCACTGTATATATATAATATCAACCATATAAATACAGAAGAGCAGCTGATGGCACTGACACCTCCTTTCACATCAGCTGTTACTGAAGCAGCTCGGCAGGTTTAAGCTTTCACTCAGTGCAGGCTGGCACCAGTGAAAGTGCCCTCTTCAATTCTTCTCTTATTAATGTACTTACACTGTGGCAGAGGATCACTTTCTTTAGCATCTGCTCTGGGTAAACGATAGCAGGTAACAGAAGAAGCAGGCTGATCATCTGACACCGGAGTGTGTGTCTAAACATTCTGAATGATGGCCTTCAGGCAGCAAACCTTTGCAGCTTACAAACCAACACATCACACCTCAGGTCAGGGGTGACTTTTCACCAAAAACTCTGCATTTAAATGATCATTAGTGATTTTTGAAAAATGTCCTGATCTTCTTTTAAATACAAATGTATCTTTTGTTGAGAGACCTGTCAAAATAAAAGTCTTCTGAGGGTTCTTCTTTGTCTTTTTTTTCTTCCTCTTCCAGTCACAACACCCACAGAGTGTTGACTAATATACTGTTTTGTTTACAGGAAATGCTGTTTAGTTAGTCTCAGAATAACTGTACTTTCATTTTCTTAAAGCCTGTTTTAGTTGCTAGCCAAACTTCATACATTACATAACTTTATCCTGCTTAAGTCTGTATTGATAATTTGATCATTAGATCTTTTTTAGGAGGATATTTTAAATTTAATCTCAATTTATTTAAAATTGTGAAGTACAATCAGACAAATGTTATTTGTAAATCTGGGCTATACAAATAAAATTGACTTGACGTTAGCAATAGGTTAATCTTGGTACTAATACAAAGTGCTGGGAACAAACTTCATAACTGTCGATGTCTTCACAGACGTCGGAAAGATTTTAAAGTACACAACTGACTGGTTTCTGCAGTTTTTTTTTGTGGGGATCACACAGGAAACACGGACTGTATGATGTGCCAATCC